GGATGGCGCCCCCTCACAACACACCCACATGATCCCTATCGACTTTGGTAACAAAATTTGATAATGTTGTTAACTAAAAATACCACCAACGTATCATAGTAGCACGGTACTAAGACGTCAGTAGCCAATACTCCACGTATCATAGCGCTATTGCACTAAGACATGAAGTTGAAGAGAAGTGTAAGACAGGGTGACGTCATATCCCCGAAACTCTTCACCGCTGCATTGGAAGACGTTTTCAAGCTTCTGGACTGGAAAGGATACGGTATCAACATCAATGGCGAGTACATCACTCACCTTCGATTTGCCGACGATATAGTCCTTATGGCAGAATCGCTGGAGGACCTAAGTACTATGCTCAATGACCTCGATAGTGTTTCCCAACGGATAGGTCTTAAGATGAACATGGACAAAACAAAGATCATGTTCAATGTCCATGTCACACCTATGCCGGTAGTTGTTGGGAACACTAAGCTCGAAGTTGTTGACGAGTATGTTTACCTGGGACAAATAGTCCGACTAGGTAAGTCCAACTTCGACCGAGAGGTCAATCGACGGATTCAACTCGGCTGGGCAGCGTTCGGGAAGCTACGACACATCTTCTCGTCAGACATACCTCAAAACCTGAAAACGAAATTGTACAACCAGTGCGTGTTGCCAGTGATGACTTATGGAACTGAGACGTGGTCCTTCACTGCTGACCGTATGAGGAAGCTCAAGGTCGCTCAGCGAGCTATGGAGAGGGCTATGCTCGGAGTTTCTCTGCGTGATAAACTTAGGAATGAGGATATCCGCAGTAGAACCAGAGTAACCGACATAGCCCAACGGATTAGTAAGCTGAAGTGGCAGTGGGCCGGCCATATAGCTCGAAGAACCGACAACCGATGGGGAAGAAAGGTTCTCGAGTGGCAGCCTCGTACCGGTAGGCGAAGTGTAGGGCGTCCCCCCACGAGATGGAGTGACGACCTGGTAAGACATGCAGGAAGTCGATGGATGCAGGTGGCTCAGGACCGTGCTTTGTGGCATTCTTTGGGGGAGGCCTATGTTCAGCAGTGGACTTGTGAAGGGCTGTAATGATGATGATGATGATGATGATGAAGTTGAATATGCTTGCTGCACTTAAAAGTACTGCCAAACACACTCACCCTAATCCGAAAGATAGCCGACGTATCATAACGCTATGCGCTAAGACGCCGCCCACAAACGGTAGGAGTGTGCGATGTCCACGGGCAAGTCGTATTGCTACAACAAACCCGCTTACCACCGGCACTAAGATGATATGTCTAGGACACATCGGTTAGTGAGTCCAAGTTTACCTCGGTCTCAGATGCTGCGAAGCAACACACGCCACTATAATAATCCTTTTTAAGTCCCATTTCTTTCAATATTGCTTTTACATATTTGAGACCTTCCACATATTTACTTTATTTCATAGACCATACCACTGTATGTCTTATTAATATGGGACTTCAAGTCATAACTCTGCTATCATAATGCTTATGCATCATAGAGACCTTCTATATTAATGCTTTGGTTCGTCAGACCTTACTATGTTAAGTCCCTAATATAGGACTAGTCATTGTGCAACCTTAGTACTAGCAGTCGGTCAGCCGACCACCCCATATATATGTACAACCTTGGGTATGTGTCTCCGACAACGCCCCAATATTAGGGAACATTACAAGAACACGTTCATTAACTTATAAATTTTCCAATTATTACACGAACACCTTCATCAACTTAGAAAATTTTAATCCATTTTTGCTATTATATTACAAATGTTATTTATCTTTGTTATTGCAATATAATCGACTTGTATTTATATGATTTGATACATTTCGAATATTTTAAGCAGGTTTTTAATAATTTTAGAGATTTTTAGAGACATTTTATGCGTTTACTAATATATATATAATATTCAATATTCCAAATGGATATTTTTGAACTTTATGCTTATCATTTGCATTTTATTGTTTAAATTATAATTTCTATGACATTTTTAAATGTCTGTATAATGAATTTAATTATTATTTATTAATAATAATTATGAGGCGTCACAATCCACCCCCAAATTTTATGTTAATGATCCACATAGTGGAGTCGGTAATATAAAATTTTAGTATTTTGGGAGCATATACACTACACTCAAATAATTGTTTATATATCTGTTCTTTCCTCTTTTAATCTGTTACAATACGGCATATGTTATCAAATCCCCCTGCCCCAGAGAATGGCCGCCACCAACACCCCTTCAACCACAATTATCACAATGTGATAACACCATAATTCAAGTTATTGTATATCGTGTTGTTAATAAAGTTTGCAGTCAATTGTCGATTTCTTATTTTATTAATTTATCTTTAAATCTTTGAAACATTATTTCGATAGTGTCACACTTTATGTGCATACAATCCAGTTTGATATTTGTTGAGGTCAGTTCGATACCACATAGGATAAATGTGTTTGAGCCATTCGCCCTGACCCAACTCCCATATTTATTTAATAAAAATGATTACAAAATTATCTTACGATCTATATTTACAACTTTTCATTATATATTAATAACGTTCTTTTATTATATAACAAATCTCTTGCTCATAACTTTAATAATTTTAGACCTTTAACTTAAACAAGTATTTCCATGGGCCACCCACAAAACCCTTTTATGTTACAATATTTATTTAATTACTCTAATTTATACAAAAAGAAATTATTATTTAAAATATTTTAATAAGTGAATAGCATTGAAAATCCCTCTAATTTCGTTTGTCTCTGGATTTGCTAAGGTATATACATTGTCAAATGGTACGGCTGCTATTACATAAGGTCCTTCATATGCCAAATTGAACTTACTCATAACTTTATTATCAGCGTCTGATCTACTAGATCTTGAAATTTTTACTAAGTCACCAATATTATATTTTATTAATCTATTTCGCTTATCAAATTTTGTGTTTCTTATTCGACTTGCCTCTTTTAAATTTTTACGCACTTGTTGTCTAATTTGTTCGACATTATGTTTGTCTTTACTTTTGGAAATTACTTTGTCAAAAGACATTTCATTAGACTCACCATAAAGAATCTCACAAGGCGTGAAGCCTCCCGGGTGCTCCCACTGCGAGGATCGACCGGAGGACACGGTGGAGCACACCGTGGAGGTGTGCCCTGCCTGGGCGGAGCACCGCCGTGTCCTCGTAGCGGCGATAGGCGGCGGCGACCTCTCGCGTCCGGCCCTGGTCGAAGCCATGGTCCGGAGCGAGACGGAATGGGATGCCGTCACCACCTTCTGCGAAGCAGTGATGCTAGCGAAGGAGGTGGCGGAGCAGGAGAAGGAGAGAGCAGCAGCTTTCCTTCCCGGCCGCCGCGGGAGACGCCCCGGGCGTCGGGGGCTACGTCGTGGCCCCCGGCCACCGTAGGCGCGGGCCTGTGGACGGCGAGCAATGGGTAGCTCGCCGTCCGTCCGTCTAACGACGACAGGCCGTGTCGACGGCGCGTTTTGTTCCACGCGCGCCTCAAAGAGCTGTCAGCAGCGTGAAGGGGCCCGCAAGGGCCGACGCCTGCCGGGGCTGCGGGCTGTTCGAAAGAGATACCGCGGCTCCGGAACGTAAGGGCACTGAAGGAACACGGATGGTTTTTAGTCAGTAAAAGTCTGACACTCCCTTCCGCTCCACCCAGAGCGAAAGGCGTCATTTGAAGATTTTCCATCCGCAAAAAAAAAAAAAAAAAAAAAAAAAAAAAAAAAAAAAAAAAAAAAAAAAGGCGTGAAGCCTGTACTATTGTGATAAGAATTATTATACAATTCTTCTAATTTCGGCAATATTAACGCCCAATCTTTGTGGTTAGTATGACAAAGCGTCCTAAATAATCTGCTCAACTCTTTATTTACTCGCTCTGTTGTATTTGATCTAGGATTTCTAACAGTGGTATATATTGGCTTTATATTTAATTCACTCATTGATTGTTTCCAGTGATTATTTACGAACTGTTTTCCATTATCTGTCATTATTGCCTTGGGCTTTATAATCTCAACAAAATGCTTTACTTTTGTTACAACAGACTTTGCTGTTGACTGTTTTAAAGGATATAATTTGATAAATTTACTGAATGAATCTTGAATGGCAAATATGAAAGTGTACCCAAAGGTACCTGATACAAGTGGTCCATATAAGTCTGCCATGACTATATCGCCAATGTTTTCTGTTATTATAGATTTGCAGGGACCCACATATGTTATATTGCTTTTCTTAGATAACTGACATAAATGACAAGCCCATAATTGGTTTTTAATATCTTTTGTTAAACCTTTCCAAAAGAATCTGTCTCTCACATATTTAATTACCTTATAGGGTCCTTGATGACCCATTTCGACATGCACTTGATTTATAATAACTTGTCTCAATGCTTTAGGTAAATATATTACTTCTTGTAAATTCGTTTTGTAATATAATACATCATTTTTCAAACTATACCTTTTAAATTTATTGTTTTATTTTATTATGGAAGTATTTAATGTCTTTAACTTTTCAATAATAGCCAACGACTCTGAATCTTGTAATTGATATACTGATAAGGATTTTAATTTTTCTATCAACTCAATATTCGGTTCGCTCTCTGTGTAAGCAATTTCTAAACTATTATTTTTATCCTTTTGTATTAAATCGCTATCAGGAGGATAACGTGATAGTACATCTGCAACAATATTACGTCTACCCGATATATGCTGTACTTCATAATTAAATTGTTCTATGTACAAAATCCATCGGGTTACTCTACCATTGAATAACTTCATATTATTAATAAACAATAATGCTTTATGATCAGTTAGAATTATTACTTTACTGCCCCGCGAATATGTTTCAAATTTCTTTAGGCAGCTTATTACAGCATAAAACTCTTGTTCAGTAACAGACCAATTTAATTCGGGGCCTTTTAAGGCTTTACTATGATAGCCTAAAATTCTCATTTCATTATTATCATCTATCTGATATAGTAGGCCATACTCACACCGGAACAATCTGTTTGTTATTTACAAAATACGGCTTAGTAAAGTCTGGATGATGCAATTGTATTGTATTCATAAATTGTTGTTTTATAAAATCAAATGCCTTCTGTTCTTTACCGCTCCATTGGAACTTTCGTCCCTTTTTAAGTAATTCACAGAGCGGTATTATGCTCTCGCTGTAATTTGGTATAAACCTTCTATAAAAATTGCATAGACCTAAAAAGGCCCTTAATTGTTTAATCTTTTTAGGTGCTGGAAACTCTTGGATCGCTCGAATCTTATCGGGATCTGTCTTTATGCCTTCTGTTGAAATTATAAAACCCAGCATTTTAATTTCTTTACAAATAAATTCACATTTCTGCAAGTTACACGTTAAGCCAGCTTTGTTCAATTTACTTAAAATAATATCATTGTGCTCCAAATGTTTATCTAACGTTCCTGTTGTAATAATGGCTAGATCATCTAAATAGTTCACACAAAATTCTTGGACTTCTGGTCCTAATATTAAATTTATGGATCTGCTAAAGCTTCCTACTGATGTTTTTAATCCTTGCGGCAAAACATTATATACATATGACTTTCCATTGAATGTGAATCCAGTATATTTTCTACCATCTTTATTTATCGGAATTTGAAAATATGCATTATTTAAGTCAATGGTAGTGATATAATTCGCTCCGTGAAATGAATTCAAAACATCTAATTGTATAGGTGGTTTCTCTGTTTCTGCAACCATTTTCTTATTTATGCTTCTGGCATCAAGCAGAACTCTAATTAAGCCGTCTTTTTTAAGAGTGAATGTCAATGGACTACTGTAAGACGTTGATGTCCTAATGATGATACCAGCTTGTTCCATTTCATTTAACTTTTCTTCCATTTTCGCTCTATATGCATATGGAATGGGATAGGACCTAGTAACTATAGGTTCATCATCGATCATTTCAATTTTATGCTCATTGCAATTGGCTCTTCCCAATTTGCTCGAAAACATATTCTTATGCTTTTCCAAAACCTTACTAAGTTTTGCCCTTTTAGAGACCTCCAATGTAGATCCTATTTTTATATTTATTAAGGGATCATCGGTACATTGTTTGATGCAGTTATTATGTAATACAGATTTATTATTATATTTGAAAGGCATAAAGTAGTCTTTGTTTTTTACTTTAAATTCTATTCCAACAGTAGTATTTCTCCAATCAATCAATATTTTATTTCTCTTGAGCCAGTCAAAGCCTAATATTAAAGGTCTTATTGAATTACAGACAATTAAAGTTTGTGTTTCAAAGACTACTTCATCTATCTTTATAGGCAATATGATCATCTGTTGTATTTTTGTGCTGCGCTGCCCAACAGCACCTTTTATTTGCATTGCTTTAACTGGCATTATTGATATTTTACGATTATTATCTTTAATTTGTAAATATAAACTTTCTGAAATGCATGTAACATCACTCCCAGTGTCGAGGAGCGCGTCTATTTCTTTGTCAAATATTGAAACTTTAATTTCAGATCTCATATTCCCTATAAATTCCCTTTGATATTTATCTTCGTCTTCCTTGAAGACGGTTTGCACGAATATCTCCGTTATGGGCAAGTCCGACCTGGCTTTTAAGGTGTTTAATATGCTATTTACATTGTCGTTATAACCAAGGCCTTCTCTGTAAAAATTTGCTTTTAAAGTAATAGGTTTTCGCAACCCTCTATTGTTTTTACCCAATGTTTGACCAGGTCGCCAACCCAGTTTTAATAACATATTTAATGCTTTGTTCCCTTTTACATTGTAAGGGGTCGAATCGGGAACTAGTTCGACCTCTACAGCTCTAAATTTGGCTCAGGGGCCGTAACATCAGGTTGGTCATTAGTGAAATGTATCTCATGTACTTCATTAACCTTCTTTTTTCCCTCTTCGGGTTTACGCCATGTTTTGTATGATTGTTGTATTTCTTTATGTTTTTGCTCCGTATTATTATTAAACTTCCTCCTTTTCTCATTATAGTAAGGTTCACGACCTTCATCTTGTTTGTCGATGTCATCTAAGTTTTTTAAGAAATCTGTCGCGTCTATTATTGTCTCAATTTTAGCTATTCTCCATAATTGCTGCACAGTTTTAAGAAAATGTCTGATGACATCAGTTACTAATAGTTTTTCAGGTATCGGATATGATAATGTTTGTGCCTTCTCAACCACATAAAGAAAATAACTTACCATGGTGGGGTGTGTACTTCTATTCCATTTATTTTGCACAAGGAATCTCTTTACTTTATTTTGTTCTTCTTCACCCCAAAACACTCTTAGGAAGTCAGCTTTAAAATCATCAAAAGTTGTCCAACACTCATTATTAATGCGAGCCCAATACTTGGCTTCACCTACTAAGCACTCTTGTGCTATCGAAATTTCGAGACCATTAGATGGAACTTTCTTTAAATAATTGGTAAGATCTTCCAAAAATGATACTGGATGAGTATTCCCATTCCCAAATTTCGGCTTTTCTATTGTTACATTATGTACATTATATACAATATTTTGTCTAGGATCATTTACATGAGAGGTGCTCGCCCCGGACACCCCTCCTTGATTTATTTTAATTTGGTAATCTTTCGTTTGGTTAATAAATTTTTCCTCAACATCCTTTATTTTAACCTCAAAGGTTTTCACTGTATTCTTAATTAATTTCTGAAGCATTTTCATCTCATCTTTAGACTTAGCCTTAATTGAGGTTGATTTTTTCTTATTTTTAGCCATTTTTAATTTTTATTTCCACTTTTTTTACACTTTTTTTTACACTTTTTGTGTCCTTCACTTACTTTAATTGAGTTTTTCCACTTATTTCACTTTATAATATATAGTATTGCAGTTTTTTTTTTTACACCTGTTGTATCCTTCACTTAGTTTAATTGAGTCTTTCCACTTATTTCACTTTTTATTATTTCGCTCTGTTATGCACACACCTCCTATATTATTACTCCATTTTAATATATAAGCCCCACCCCCAGACTCTCAACCACCCCCAGCAAACACCACTCTCCAAGACACCTCTCCATTTCACGGACAACAAATTGTAGGCATATAGCCTACCTCATAATTTTATATTACCGGCCTCCTATTTAATTTTTAACCTCTATCCTGGTCACGGCACCAAATTGTAACGAACCCCCCCCCATCTTTTTTTCTTTTCTACTATATATCCGCTTATACTTGTATTTCTTTAGAATCTATATCTGTAAGATATATAAATATATCTAATTTACGTGACCAGTATAACTTGATCTTTCTAAAGGTTTAAATATAGGCCGTTTAATAAATTTATGGCATGATCGTCTTAGTTAGGACCCTTTTTTACGTTGTGTTTGTATAGTAACTTAGTTCTTTTAGGTGTATCTTAGAAGAATGAATATTCACGAGAGCAATCGAAAGCTGTTGGTAGAGTCTTATAAGCTAAAGAACCCCGTTCACGAAGACAGAGCTCAAAAAGGTTAAGAACAATAAATTGTCCCTATTCCACTTGTATCTGGTTCACAACAGTCAATTCCTTATTAATTAATCCCTTCCCGCTTGGAAAAGGCTCACAATATTTATATCAAATACCAGTTACAAGGGCTTCGCTCTCCCACATTTTAAAAAAAATGTGGAGGAGGTACACGGCCCCACACACGCCGCGCACGGTGAGCGCCAACCATTTTAATGCGCTCCCCCCGAAGGGTACGCAAAGTTGGGAACTGGACCGTAGTCCACAGCAAAATAACTGGCGAACCAGTAAAAGAGGACTTGGCCCCTTGATAGTGCGTAAGCACAAACATTGACCGAAGTCGCGCATGTCAATGCGTGTATACGCCATACAGAATACGATCAAATCCAGCCACAGTGAAATGTACGTCACACGGGTTAGGCAACAATCGGCACACTGACCATAAAAAGCCTTCCGTGAGCGCCACCACCTGCCAGACCGCCGTTCCTGCAGACGTGATGTAAGTGTAAGGCATCACCACCAATTGCATGGTCAGCACGGCCAATTGGCCGCAGAGCGTGTCATGAGTCTACCGCTCACCTCAAGGGAATGGGGTCCCACGTTGCGCGGCTTTGGGCCGCAGCCTTGAGAGCCTCCTCAGATTCTCCCTCCAGCTACCACCCGCATGAGGTCAACACATATGCTCCACCAACCAATACAATGGCAGATATAGCCAATAGGCAGTTATAAGATAATATTAATAATTCGTCATCAGAAAGGGTTTGTGTCACTGACGTTGAGTATATGCATTTTTCGATCATGTTTGTCTCACCCACCAACAAGTTGCCTTCAATCTCTCAAAGGTGGGAACTTTATAGAGATATATTATTAAGTTGTTATATAAAACATCATAGAGGGCAGACAGTCTGCAGCCCCGCAATGAAGGGACTTGGGCAAAGCTACTTAGGTTGTGAGTCAAACCAGGACGCAGAGAGCGCCATTGAGAATAGCGACCCGCCAAACAACCATCGTAGAGACGCAATGCTACAGAATGCAACAAGCAATTCAATACGACTATCGTCGGGCTTACACCATCCCAAGGTCCCACATACAGTCCCAGCAGACATCACCACCCGCATACCTCTATCGACCAGAACCACAAGATGCATCGAATCAGGTGCAGCACACCCGCAGATCCATCACAAGACACAATACTGCAAGTAGCAGTAAGCATCAATGCAACTATCATACGGATGGCGCCCCCTCACAACACACCCACATGATCCCTATCGACTTTGGTAACAAAATTTGATAATGTTGTTAACTAAAAATACCACCAACGTATCATAGTAGCACGGTACTAAGACGTCAGTAGCCAATACTCCACGTATCATAGCGCTATTGCACTAAGACATGAAGTTGAATATGCTTGCTGCACTTAAAAGTACTACCAAACACACTCACCCTAATCCGAAAGATAGCCGACGTATCATAACGCTATGCGCTAAGACGCCGCCCACAAACGGTAGGAGTGTACGATGTCCACGGGCAAGTCGTATTGCTACAACAAACCCGCTTACCACCGGCACTAAGATGATATGTCTAGGACACATCGGTTAGTGAGTCCAAGTTTACCTCGGTCTCAGAGGCTGCGAAGCAACCTACACTCCACTATAATAATCCTTTTTAAGTCCCATTTCTTTCAATATAATGCTTTTACATATTTGAGACCTTCCACATATTTACTTTATTTCATAGACCATACTACTGTATGTCTTATTCATATGGAACTTCAAGTCATAACTCTGCTATCATAATGCTTATGCATCATAGAGACCTTCTATATTAATGCTTTGGTTCGTCAGACCTCACTATGTTAAGTCCCTAATATAGGACTAGTCATTGTGCAACCTTAGTACTAGCAGTCGGTCAGCCGACCACCCCATATATATGTACAACCTTGGGTATGTGTCTCCGACAACGCCCCAATATTAGGAAACATTACAAGAACACGTTCATTAACTTATAAATTTTCCAATTATTACACGAACACCTTCATCAACTTAGAAAATTTAAATCCATTTTTTCTATTATATTACAAATGTTATTTATCTTTGTTATTGCAATATAATCGACTTGTATTTATATGATTTGATACATTTTGAACATTTTAAGCAGGTTTTTAATAATTTTAGAGATTTTTAGAGACATTTTATGCGTTTACTAATATATATAATATTCAATATTCCAAATGGATATTTTTGAACTTTATGCTTATCATTTGCATTTTATTGTTTAAATTATAATTTCTATGACATTTTTAAATGTCTGTATAATGAATTTAATTATTATTTATTAATAATAATTATGAGGCGTCACAATATGTACTCGTATTCAAGGAGTATATTAAATTCACTTTTTTTACTCACAAC